CTACACGTAAATTCCTTGATAATTGCGGCAACCCAACATGAAAAATATTTGACAAGTATGTGATCTGATAGCATCCATCTTCTCACTACTGTGCGCGAATTCCTTTCGTGACATGCTCGAATGAAGGAGTCGCGCCGCATTCCTGAATACATTTACTTGCATATAAATATGTATATGTGTATATATATATGTATATATACACAGCATCTACTGAAACACGCTATTGTATCTAACCTAGTCAAATTTATTCTACGCATGATAGTGAACTTTACGAGTTCTTTTTTTATTAAAATATCAGAGCCACAATAAAAAAAATAAATACATTTTTTATCAACTAACACACAAAAAATATTTAAAAAAAAAAGAAAGGAGGTACTAATTTATATTCAAACATGCAGTTAAAAGTAAATTAAGCCAAGTGTTAATAATAAACATTGAAAAAAGCATTGAACCATTGAACTCATTAATCGCGCCACTGATGAAAGTACACCGCGAGACAAAATACATGGTTATGTCGGTTAATAGCCCGAAAACTATAGGCACAAAAACGCGAAAATAAAGCACACAGGAGGATCGTGCGATAAAAAAGGGAGGGCGAGAAAAATGGAGCGGGTCCGATATGAACCGCCGCTGATGTAAAGCGCGATACGCCGGAAATGCGTCGCGCCGCGTTTACAGCCGCGCTATCGCACGGTCATAGAATTTCTCATCAAGTTTTCCGGCGGAATGGACACAGAAAGAAAGAAAGAAAGGAGGAAAATGAACGAAATGCTTCTCACGAGCTCTTAGAAGCACGCGCGCGAGAAGAAAGAAGAGAGACTTCGCGTGCTCCGTTATCGAAAAAATTCCGTGTATCGACGACGTTTGAAAGGAACGCTTCCTACTCGAATATCACTTTTCCTTCTATGCTCGGCGAGCGATCAATGCTCCGAGTTACGAGCAAAGAACAGGAAGCGTTTGTGTTCGTCCAAATCCATCTTACGACGCGGAGGCGCGAGTTCGTAGACGTAACGTGCTATCGCATATCGCAAAAAAAAAAATTCTCTCGATACCGGAGAGAAAAATCGCGACAGTACGCTTTTTACATTATATTCTCAAGCGCTAAAAGTGGCTATTCGATTCTAAACTTTTTTTATCACCTTTATATCGCGTATACAATATTGAAAGCCATTACTTTATTCATCGACGAACGCGAATGCAAGCTTAATTTTATCGAAGCGAAATTTTCCACCGAGAAGGAAACTTCTTTTGAGAAAGTAACTGCTTTTTATAATATTGCGTTTATATGCTTGCTTTTCTCCTTTCGCGGACTTAAAAGTTTGTCCGACTTCAAGAGTTCAAACAGCGTAGCTACAGTTTGCTGAAAAATATCAGAGTTTACCTACGCGAAAATCGCAAATAAACGAAATAAAATATTGCGGTCCAAGTGCGCGCATAGAAGATTGATGGATAAAGATAACTCATACATACACATCGTAATTTTCTTTTTTTATCGCAAGGACGCAGCACGCTCAGAAATGCATCATACACGCCTCTGGCGCTGTAAATAACGACGTCAAAGATTCCGACTACTTTAAGGGATGAAAAAGATCATGGGATGAAATCCGCCGGTGGAAACGAGTGGTTTTAACGATACTCAATCTCCGGATTGGATTGCGTTGCATTTCAAGGCGGGAAAGGAAGGATGATGCTTTGGCGAATATCCGGCATTTCGTTTCCGTCCTCCCGTCACTTATTCGTGAAATATAGCGCTTACCTCGGGGCGGAGAGTTACGACGCTGTAATATTGAATCTCACGAGTTAGCCGGGTGTCCTGAGCATCGTAGCTACAATAATATATTTAGACGGCACGGAATCGATTAATCTGAGCGCAAATAATTCCCAGCCGGTACTCGCGAATCATCTATCTCGCATGCGTTCTGTTTACGTCATCATAATTGAACATGTGCAATATTCACGGCCATATTAGACGATTGATCCATCGCTCGTACCATCCGACCCCTTCTAACGCGTGCTCTTTACGCAAGCCAACGTGATTATGGCTCTCGCGCCCGGGGGAGTTATCATCCTTTGCGGTCCCATGTCGTGCCCACGCTGTATCGTATTTTGCTTCAACGCAGCTTGCACCGTTGTAATTACGCCGTTAGAAGGTTGTTGCAGCGGGGAGCAAATAAAGCAAAATTGTAACAATCACGGTATTAATAAATTAAAAAATTTACATATTTGCCGTGCATCATAAATTAATAAAAACTTGCGTAAGAATAAAAAGAGAATATATTGCGAAGCGAAAAATTTTATCCACAATTTCAATTGATATCGTCTGCGTTCGTGTGATAAAATTAGAATTCTTGAAATGAGTAAATGTTTTCGAAGCAGGGCGTGAAACAAAGAGCAGGCTGAAGTGGACAAGTTGCCTAAGCAAATAAAGTACGACTTAACTCGTTACCCACGCTGAAAGTGTTAATTAATCACGACGAAGCGATGAAAGGCGGTCCTTCCAAAGAGCGTCGTCTCCCCGATAACGCGTCAAGCCCGATAAGTCTGTGGATTAAGAACTCCCCGTGGCGGCTAAGATTTATCGATACACGATGAATCGAATAATGGCACGATCGGCGCGAGGAACGCGATTAGTCTCGCTCTTCCGCACTCGGTCGTTCCAGGTTGAACGGGAATCCATCACGTGGACATATTGGATTTGAGAGAGGATCGAAAGCTCGTTTCCTGCAGACGCATACTATCCGTCCGCCTTCGTGGTCTCGCGACATTCTTGGCAGGAATATTCTCTTCGTGTAAACCGCGCGTCGTGTAAACCGATCTAACAATTTCCATCGCTTTCATTATGTATCGCATTTATTATCGTGATATCCGAGAAATCAATTTTTCTTCTCGATGCACTTCACGAGAAAATCGATCGCCTGGTGTAAAGTCGCGGATGCACATACGAAGTTCACTTGAGAGCGATGTGACGGGGTGTTAAACCGGATGCAGGCAGGAGTGAGCCACCCCGTACGTTCGGCTTATCGTAACGCTCTGATGCAGATTCAACGTTCTGTGAACAGCTATCAGTTAAACCGCTCTGTGGTTACCTCTTGATCTTCCGAAGCGTCTATCTTCATTTTTCGAGAGTCTCGAACATACGAATGCGCGACGTCGCTACCAAAGTCACTGCAAGCTGCTGAACTCCGTGTCCCACCATCCAGTCCGTGTTACGTCTATCTGTCGTAACAGTCCGCCGAACTTTGAACAACAAGAGCATTATGGAACCTACGTGCAGCTCGAACTTCAATGTCTCAACAGGATATCGCGACGCGAACTAGTACTTGTTGCAAATTTGAATAAGTCCGTTCCGACAACTCACGCGCGAACATCTGGGGATGAGAGTAGCATCTAATGACGTAATCGATAAGGGCGCGGTGTTATTTCGTACAGTAAGCGACCGCGCGCGAAAAGCGCACAAGTAAGATATCCGCGCGTGTTAATAAATTTGAAAGCCCGGCCGGTCGCGCGAACGAGAATCAATGACAAAGGTGTGCCGCGACCGCGAGCACAATTATCGCTAATCCGGGATGCGAAGGGCCGTGAGATAAATGGCGAGATGTAATAAAATGCAGCAGCTGTTCCACCCTTCTCTTTCTCTCCGCCTCTTTCTCTTATCCGCTTGCGCGCAATCTCATGCAAATTCAAATAGCTTGCTCTCTATCGCGATATGATGGGCAACAGCGAAACTGACTCGTCGTTTCTCGACGTCCTCCCGACCGCACTGCACCTACAAACAGCTCGTAACGGTCCGCTGTGCTTCATCAAAGTATTAAAACGCTAACGAGACTCCGGGCTCACAACGGTCATAAGCAATAACTCGATGCATAACCGGCAAAAAGCCGTTTCGACAAAGGAGAGAAAATATTACGAATTCAGAGCGGCGATGCGTCAACTGCAATTGCCATCGATGATATTCCAAATGTTTTAAAAAATGATTAAAAAAACATTCTTAGATTAGCATTAAGTAATTATAGACCTCGAAAATCTTTATTAAAAATTGTAGAATACTGCCAAAGATGTTAATCGTAAGAAGATTCGAACAAAATGAACGATGACGAACTATTTGTGACTATTGATATCGCGAATATTTCTTCCTTTGAGTACTGAGTGTGAAAGACATTGTTCAGAATAGCCCCGAGTAGTTTGTCCTTCTTAAAATACTTCAATATACATTATGCAATATTGTCTAAGTTATGTTACTCGCCCGAGTTATAAGTTTACCACAACGTTACATTCAGCTTTGCTGTACCACGTGTCACATTCATCCGATAATCCTGAGATGCCAAGTATACTACTTCATATAACAATATTAAACTCTTAAAACTAAAACTTGTACTAAGTCGCGACGGAGAACACGAAGAGTGAACAAAGTACAAAACTGTGTAACATAGATTTTTAATGGCAAACCAGTAAAAATCATGAGTAAAATTTTCTTTCTCGCGGAAAAATGTGTCTCGGACGACTTAATGGGAGTGCTGTTTTAATATATGTATCTGCATTCGCAACATTTGTTTCCAAAATGAATATATAAGAAACGATTCTATCGATATCGAAATGATTATACGATACTGAACACTTATCAATGATTTATTATGATAATAATCAATGTACAGAAAAGATAATGATGTAGGTCATGAATGAAATAGTATTCTTAATTGATTATGCATTGTACAAGGTGGAGAAAAAGATTACGAACTTGGAAAGCATATCGTATTCATAAAAGTAAGAAAAAGAATATAGATTCTTAATGAATATAGATACTAAAATAAATATTTTGAAAAAACTTACTTTTTTGTTTAACGTAGCAAAAAAAGTTCAATACAATATATTAAACATGAAGATCCGTCATGTGTTTACATCTCTCTAACAATTTGTATTTATATTATAGTTATCAAACATCTTCATCAAAGTGTGAGTCTGCAATTACTTTTTTAAACAGCATGTTTTTCAAACATTAATAAGTATTTTTCTTATCTAATCTCATTCAATTAAGTTAACAATTTAAAATCAACTTTCATCGACAATATAAATGCACCTAACCGATGCATTTTACACATCACAATACGTTTAAAACAAACAGCATTAACAATCCCAATAAAAGCGACCGATCATAATGTTGAAATTATTATTCTTGCTTCCTTTAATGGCTGTTTTTGCTTACGGTGAGTAACGGACAAATCAATTGACTATCAATATAATTTAACGTACAGTAAATTTTATCAATATAACAATAATTATTAACACAGATGCATCAGTCGTACTAAATCCTAGAATTGTGGGTGGAAGAAATGCTAAGCCCGGTGAAATTCCATATCAGGCAAGTCATCATCAAGTCTTATTCGTTACATTAACTTTTTCTCTTTCGAAACACGCAGAGCGTCGATTGATTTCGAACTGATTAAATCTCAGCGAAATTTTTCATTTGGTAAAACGGCAGACTGAGTCAACTGTTAAAATGGAAGATACATACGATGTAATAACACGGTAAACTTCCACGCCTCAAGTCGTCACGTACAAAATGTATTATTTCAGGTTTCTCTCCAAACCATCAAATCGGGACATCACTTCTGCGGCGGAGTTGTACTTAACAAAAACTACGTACTAACCGCCGCTCACTGTGCGTCAGGGTAAATGCAAGAATAAAGTCTAAAGGGGGAACTTGAGGAATATAAACCATTGAAAAGTTACATTTTAATATTCTTTGCAGCAAAGATGTTAAGACGATTTCAGCCACTGTGGGAACGACGGACTTACGAAGACCGTATGCGGTGCGCCTAATTGAATCCTCTTACGTACACAAGCAATACGATCGCAATAATTCCTGGATTAACGACATTGCATTACTCAAGGTAACGTTAATTAATTACAAATAATAATTCTTTCGCCATATTTTTATGTGAATTTATATTGAACGACTTGAAAATCTTTTAAGGCTGGATAAAAATTATATATAAAAAATATATTTTTAGCTTAAATCTCCATTTGTATTTTCCACTCTGGTATCCCCCGTCGCATTGCCGGAACAAAATCAAACTGTAAAAACCGGCGGGCTAGCAATCGTGTCGGGTTTCGGCAGATTATGGGTAAGCTTCTTAAGAATTTAAACATTTAGGCTCTTACTGGCGTTTGGTAAATTAAATCTCGCTGCGCTGTAAAATTTCGGTACACTTCGCACTTACAGCATGACGGGAACAGAACCACAGAGCTGAATCTCGCGAGTATCAAAATAGCTGATCAGGCTTACTGCAGATTTATGTATCAGAATCGATCGAAAAACATCTTCGACACGCAAATCTGTGCAAACGAGCCGACTGTGGAAAGGGGTTCGTGCAAGGTAAGCTATTTACAAAGCGTTGCGGCACATCGCCGTCGTTAGTACTGGTCGCACGTGCAATTTTACGCCAGCTGACCAGGTGCAGTCATTAGCTACTTAACGCGCACCGTTCTTCTCACGCAAGGCTTCAACCCGCCATCCTTTCTAACGACTTCTAAACACAACATCTCAATGCCGCGCGTGTGCTTCCGGTAGCATAACGTGCCCCAAACATGCCCGAATATATAATATCATTACATCAGCGGTTACATATCGCAATTACCGAATCTCTTTTATCAATAATGAATTTATCAGTTAATTAATTCATATCTGAATAATATATAACATGCGTGAAATGTTCATCGGTTATCATATCGCGTCGTTGATTATTAATAAAGTATATTTGGTTTCGCTCGTCGCGTTTTAATTTTTGATTTAATTTAATATACAAGATTGCGGATAATGCAAGCCCGTTATCCTTCAATCTATCAATATAATTAAATTGGCAATGAAGATAACAAAAGCTGATTTTGTATTAGAGATATATTGCAAAAAAAAGAGATAGCATCGCTCGCGATTGATTTTTTTTCAATCAAATCCACATGATATCTTGATAACTGTTGAGGAAATGAATTTTTCATTTTAGGGCGATTCCGGCGGTCCTCTCACTGTGGATGGAAAACTCGTAGGACTCGTCTCGTGGTCACATCGCTGCTCTGACACGATATATCCTTCCGTGTACACGCGGGTTCCGTCGTACGTCGATTGGATTAAAAAACACGCGGTGTAAAATTTGGAACGCAGAAATCAATTTTAATATCTAACGACGTAAATGAGAATCAAATTAATTTGCATTATTATATTTAAATACTGTATAAGTACAAAATTTTCTCTTGGAACATGTATTATATATATAATACACGTATCACACTTACATTACTTCAAGAAAAGATAACATGAAAACTAATATCACAACATGCGATTATTTAAACATTGATATTTGGCAAGCAAACAACGCGACGAGCGTGAGTTTGAAACAATTATTCAGATAAATTGTAAATATTATATACACACACCGTACGTATCTTGTAATCTCTCTGCAGTCTCTCGGATTCTCCAATAATAAACGAATCGAAAAAAGGAAGTAGGTCAATCAAAGCAAATCCATTTAACTATTCCGAAAATGTACGCCAAACGTACGAAATTGTTTCGGAGAATTATTTCAGAGAAATAATTCACGTTTCTCTCGAAAATAAATAAAAGAACTATTTGCATCCGTTTGCTCTCATTTCCGGCTTTAATTATGTGCTTCACGCGCATATACGTGATGTTGAGCTATTTGCAAAGTGTTAATGCATTTATGAAAATACATATTTTACAGCGTATTTTTGCACATCATTTTACAAAATAACCATTAATATGCACAAAAACAAGATCTTTGTTTTCGTACGATCTCGGCAAATAAGCAATTTGTACTTATCAGCAGATATTAATCGTGCTAATAATAAAAAAGAATTCGATGCACCGTTATCGTTAAAAGATACCGAATTTAAGTTGAGTAAGAAGATAGTTTGCCGAGGAGCACGTCGCATCTTTGCTTTTACGACGCCATGAGGGCGATATCGAAAACGCCCGGTATCTGTCCGATCCGCGTTATTTGGCGCCAGCAGTTCGCATACTTATACACATGAGAGCAGAAAGAGCGGAGCGTAATCATAGATACGAATAAAATCGTTATGGAAACCGAGAGCGTAAATGGAACAATATAAAAAGCAATAATCTTGCATCTCAAACAATTGTTGCGAGAGACGCGCGATTATTTTAAACTCGGAAAACGATTTCTTCAGTCTCCCTACTTTCTCCCGTAAACAACAACTGCAACTTCCGCTTACACTCCGCGTACTGCTCCCTCGGGTACTACGTATAATTGTTAAGAATTACAAAGCGAGAAGAGTTTTCACGAGTCTGTTTGCTCAGAGATTTAAGACAACTTTAATTCTTTTAAACGCGTTATAAGGATACAACTTACATATTTCTAACTCGTAATAATTATTTTAACGACTGCAACTCTTCTACATACATTTGTAGAAAAGATGTAGATTTACAAATTCTGGTATGAGATATTAAATGTTACCAAGTGGTAAAAAAAATATGTCGAAATGTCTGAACTAAATATCTCAGTCGTACTTAAAGACGATTAATATTTTACTATCGACATTGGAGTAAAAATTTTTAATAAGAAAAGACACGTCTAACCGTCACTCCTCAGACGTTCGTATTTTCTATTCTCATTTATCTTCCGGTAAATCTGAATAGTTCGAGGATTTTGAATAGTTCCACGACTGTGTACATTGACAAACCGAGTACACGTGGGTCAGACTATTTCACTACCTATGATCGATGAGAAGTTCCGGATGTAGGGTCGTTGGACGCAGGTGAATCCTGGAACAGCGGTTCTCAGTATCGCTTCTTGGTGGGAAGGATCGATCGACCTCCTACTTTGCCACCACGACACTCTAGCAGGATATCACGATAATAGCCGTTCCAGGTCAAAAGTCGACCCATCCAAGATCGCGAGATTGTCGACTGTATCGATCCGCCTGATTTTTGTCTGATTTTTGTAACTTATTGCTTTTAATAGTAAATTATAAATTACTTTTAAAAATGGCAATTGATCAATATTATCTTAGAAATTTCAATTGATGGCGCTTCAAAGATTAACAAATATCGATGTATTGTTTTATACACTAGAGAAGAATCTATTGACGTAATTATCTGCGCATTCGATAGTTTGATTTCAGCATAAGCCAGACTGCATTCCATTAGGTAGGCGAGAATCGATCGACCCCTACCTTGGAATCCAGGCGTCGTTCTCGCGACTGTCCGTCAAGATTTAGATAAAGAAGGATGGCGCTTCTAAGACAGCCGAATCCAGTGGCGACACTGCCGAGCCGTACGTCGGAATGAAGTGTACAAATGCAGGAAGTTGGTAAACTCCCGTTTCCTCGCACAGCTGGAGTATTTGGCTTCTTATGAAACTTGCACTCTGACTCTTTGGGGAATCTTTTCATGACAATCTCTCAACGTGACGTGATTGCCGTAAGTTAAACTCCACAGAATATTCATATCTTTGTATATTTTGAATAATAATTGAAATATTGCTTTTCGCTTCCATAAATATCGGAATAACATAAACTTTTATTTATTTTTCCTTTTCAAATATCAACGAATGCACTTTGCAGCATCTCGCCAACTCTGATGGAGCGATGTTGCGCCAGCAACATTGAAATTCTCGACAGAATACGTACGATTCGCTCGTTGTACGGAGAAAAATTTTCGGAAATATTTTCATTTATATCATGTGTCGTATATGTCTGTAACCTGCGAAACGAGTTTTCCAATAAATGCCTTTTTTTTGCGGAAAATTGGATGTCGAATATCAATATCGTATGAGAACGACGATGCGCTAATGAGAATTACCGTTTGCACGTTATATTAACATTATTTATGTTCTCAGCCTGTCGTGGTATTTTACATTTCCATTGTGCGTTTGAAAGCGACGTGGAAAATTGAGATATAAAGGCCTAAATTAGCACTAGATTATTCAGAGTGGTACTTGAAGGCGCGTTTAACTTGCATCGTAAAAGAAATGATGTCTCTGCAGCATTATCAGCGCGTTTAGAGACTTTTGAAGTACCTGGAGGCGAGCCAGCGTCGCCTTGGATGCACTTTCGCATCTGTCCTGCTACATCGATCGAAAGGTCCCTCAACCAGGTGCCTCGGTAATGGGTTATGACGCTCTCGGGAATTGACGGCTACTTTATCCTAATTGGATAAAAACAAACGCACAACTCATTCATCTTAACGCGACGGATGCGGCAATAAAAACCGCAAGGGATTTTAAAAGTGTTACTTTGCAACATTCGGAATCGTATTGACATTTTTGATAAAGATTTCTTGCATTTTTTATTTTGAGAGATAAGTTTTCTAATAAAAATTACATGGCGGACTTGAACAAATTTGTTTTTCTCAGTTGCTGTTATAAAAAAGACGGATAAACAATTTTTATAATGAAAAAGAAATGATATAACTGTATGAAATTAGTTTCTGAAGAATGCGACGTCAGTTGGGTAATTCCGATACTATTTATGTCATGTGAATGATACAATTCCGATAAATAAATTGTTTTATCATAAAATATCTTTTCAATGTCAGGAATTATCAGTTATTTCCGATTTTTACAAAATGTATAAAATAACTGTAACAGAGAAAAGCGATACACGATAAATTAAAACTGAAATGTATACTCGTTTCTTTAATTGAAAATATGGTACCAGGAAATGTATTTGACAATATGTTTTAAATTGCAAAAATACATTTATAATATAATGATAAAATTTAATTGAATTTATCTAATCTGTAATTTACAAAGACAATTGCGAATCAATGGCGCGCATACCACTTATTATCAGATAAGTATATAAGTATATCGATCTGTCGAAATTCAATCATCATCAATTGTGACTATTATCGCTCAAGATGTTCATAGCATTGGTTTCTCTTCTTGGTCTAATTTCTATTTCTCAGTGTAAGTAGAACACAGTAATATAATCAAAAATATAATATAAAAATAGTCTAATAATATAATAAAAGGATCTCTACATTGCATACTGTAATCGTGATGAAATATAAACTACAGTTTTTGATAAAGTTTTAACAAATCGTTATTTTTTCATTCTGTAAAAGAGCAAGTTTTCAATAATTAATACAAAATAAATAACAAAAATTAAAACGCATCAAAAATATATAATGTTTTAGTAAAGTTTAAATAAAGTTAATAATTATATAAATTGAAAAAATAATGAACAATAAAATTAATTAAGTACATATTCAACTTTAATTTAATTTATTTAAGTGCTATATTAGCGACATATACTTAACTAAACTGCATGAAAAATATATAAAATGAACTCCAGACAAAGCTTTAGCTCAAATAAATTTAATATTATGTCAGCCGCCGTATTGCTGAGATACGAATCACAAATCATAAATGGTAGAGACGCAAGGCCGGGTGAAATACCATATCAGGTGAGTGACTTGTGAAATAAGATTATCGGTCTATTCAAATAAGATTTCTGTCTCATATTACGTATCTAATTTCAGCCTCACAAAGATATAGATTTTGTTGAGTTTCATATAAATTTTGCTATTTAAATGTTTGAAAATAAAAAATCTATTAAATAAAATTTAATTTTTAGATCTCCCTGCAGCAGTCAGGCAATGGTTTCCATTTTTGCGGCGGATCTATTCTTAATGAATATTACATTATTACTGCGGCTCACTGCGTCATTGAGTAATTATCAACTTTCAGATAGAAATAGCATATTGCGTGCCAAGCGTGCTAATTCGTATTTTAAGTACAACTATTTTCTCTTTAGTGTGAGTGGCGCAGAAATCATAATAGTCGCCGGTACCACGAATTTGAACCGTCCGAAAATCAGGCGAACAGTTAAAAAGATAATTCGTCATAAACAATACAATCCCGATGATTCATGGCACCACGACATCGCACTGATCCAGGTAAAATTATTTTCTAATTATTCTCAATATTGTTTCTTTGAATCTCCGCGTCACCATTTCTCATCACTGACGCGAAATTTTGCTTTCTAGGTCTTCACGCCGTTCAAGCCATCATCCGATATTGGATTCGTAACTCTGCCTGCACAAGATGAGCCTGTCGAGGAAGGATCTGTAGCTAGAGTCTCGGGATTTGGAAGAATATCGGTAAGTGCAACAGCGCTGTATCTACGGTCTCTACATAATATAATATTTGTGGAATAATTCAGCAACATGACTCTAGCGCCGCGTTTAATGCCGTAATTTTACGCGCGTATGAATTACAGCAAAACGGACCCGGATCCAAAAACTTACAACAGGCTAACATTTTCATTGCCAGCCAAGAATATTGCAAGAAAATGTACAGCATGATTGCGTATAATATTTATGATACACACATCTGCGCCAATGACCCGAATGTCAGCAGAGGATCTTGCAAAGTAAGTAGAGTATCAAATGTTTAAAGTGCTACATAATAATTTAGTCACCGTCTTTTTTCAAGTAATTAATAAAAATAAGTACAAAGATAGAAATCAAATATAATTTAAAGAAGACAAGACATGTCTGGTGCACAAAGAATTAAGAAAAAATAACAATTGCGAAACGCCAAAGTTTACTTTGCAAACGTTACACGAGACTTTAAACATCTTATGCATATGCAAAACAATTTCTCTCTTTTTCTTTTGTACATGGAAAAACTTTAATTTTCTTTTGCAGGGCGATTCGGGCGGTCCCTTGATCGTTGATGGAAAACTTGTCGGGCTTGTATCATGGGCGAAAGCCTGTTCGCTTACTGATTATCCGACTGTGTACACTCGTGTACCTTCGTACATCAACTGGATCAAGGAAAACACCGTGTGAAATTAATTGATATACCCTGACAATCCCCCCATTTACGAACATATAAAATGAGGTCATAACACGAGCAAAACATTGTTACTCTCGCTGGAATATACGTTAAGTCTTGTCACGTCTTGCTAAATCCTACCGCTAAAATGGTAAAGTTATTAGATGCAGAGATGAAGTTCCATGTCACGAACAATAGTTTCCGTGCAAGAAAATTGCGATACGTACAGATTGGTTGCTGCTATTAATTGTGCAAATAGCAGTTACAAATCTGCAACAAATTGAATGTATGTATGTATCGTAATTCGAAAGATCTACTATAATTGTATTCAAATTTTTTTACAATTTATTAACACATTTTATATATCATAAATAAGCGAGAATTTCTTAATAATATACGAAGTGTCTCAAAATTAACGAGCGGTAACTCTTAAACTCTGGATTATTATAAAGTTAGATAAGTTGTAAATAATCTAGTTAAACTTGCTTTTAAATTATGAATATAAACTAGTAAGACCCGTCTTCAAAATTCTGTAAAATAAACTTTCAAGATACATAATAACGTAATACGTATATAATCAGAAAAGAATAAGAGCAACAATTTGTCGTAATTCTCTTTAGCGTCTGTTCAATCGAATTAAATCAGTTTGCACAATTAAATCTATTATGTAAATAATATATCTTTTAAGTAACATGTACTTCTCAGCCACTCTTCATTTATGATTAGTTATCACGCACGATCATGATTATTCCTATAATCTACCTCGCCGTCCTGACGATAATTAACTTATCCCTGTAGTGCTGTTAACTTACCATGAACGCGTCAGCCGTAAATTGCGCTTGACTAATTACAGTGATGTTATGTAATGTTACGGTAATACCGCGACTAACATTTCGTAATATTTTCGCGAGTTATAAAAAAACTTTGATAATTTCCGCGGTTAGAAATGCGTGATAAGAAAACTTTGATATTATCCGTATAATCCGTGTAACGCATTTCCCATGATATACAATTTGCAATCTGTCGAGCGCAAACGCGTCGAATCAACCGGCCAAGTTTATGCAGGAGGAAATACTTGTTGATTTGATACGATCTTCTATTTGTATGCGCCATTGCGTTTGAGATTAACGTTTTATTAGTTCAATAAATAGACACAGTACAGTTGTGGCGAGCGCTAACAAATTTATCGATTGCCTATATTGGTCAAATCAACAGACTTGGTTATCATGCTGAACAAGGCAATGTAACTCGGTCAAAAGTGCACAACTCAATATTTTTGCCGTTAGCAATTTAAACGAACCAATAACGTTTCTCTGTGTATTTTTAAAGAGTGCGGTATTGATCAATAAATTTGAGAACCCGATCGAAACATGACAAATGCAAAATCTGCAATTTTCACTGAATATGTAGAAAATTAGATTTAAAACAGATTTTACGAATTCTCTCACTTATAGTATCATTTATAAGTCTTTTATAAGTAATAATTTTGTAAAATAGTAATTATAAAACTTATTAATTTTATAAATCAAGCCGCACTTTGATTTCATGCTAAAAATGATATCACTAGCGATTCGTTAAGATTTGTAAACGTTGGTTAAAGATTGCTCTGTTATTATTTAATGTAAGAAACGGTATTTTTTGATAAAAGATAAGATGGATTTCGACGTCGCCCGATAAGAAGAGAACAAAGCGAAAAAAAAGAAATGAAACGAGCACGCGATATCAAAGTTGTGCGAATGAAATAACGAGCGTCACGCTGAGTATTAATTAGCAACGATACGGCACAGAGACGGATCAGAGACTTCGCACAAACTGGCAATCGATGCTCTTTTATCGTGGTGGGTCATGCGCATAGCGTCGTTTCCCGCGACTATTTTCCCGACGACGAGCAAGAGAGGAGAGACGGTGGGTAACGTGTGCACTCGTTAAACCGTTTCCTACCGCTCGAGTGAGGACATTATCGAAGTTCAAGGTACTCTAACAAAATCTCAGAAAATGGGAATAACGCGAAATAAATCTATCATATCACTATTATGGCGCCATGTTCCGATAAGCGTATTTGTATAGTTACGCCGAATTTTAACACAAATGTGTATTGTTACGCCGAATTTTAACACAATCGCCAACGTGATCTAAATTAAATCACCACGCGTGGATTTATAAAAGATTATATTAGAAGAAATAGAGTTTGCAGCACTCTGCTAGTAAAACATGTAGAATTCATTATGTTGATTATGCTGTGTGACATATAACTCTAGCAATTTGTTGCAATATCCCCTGCAATAATTGTCACATTCATAATACGGATTATATGCATCTCTTTTCACACACATAATAGCCTGCCGGGAAATGCTCTCCGCTTTCTGAAAGCGCTTTTGTCTGGAAACCTTGATGATTTTACGTGTGGAAGGAAAAACTGTTCCCGGATTGCCTCGAATACTCTCGCACGGTTTAAATCGTTGTTCTCGGACCTTTGACCCTTTTATTCCATCTGCAGTTTGGCGAGAAGCAATATTCGAGGAGAGGGATTCTTGAATAATACATGTGACAAGCAAACTTTGTCGACGCAAAGAAATAAATCGTCCTGTGCAAACAATATACGCATTCGTAATAATATTCCCCGCCGGCGAAATTTATATTAGTTACTTATAATCTAAATATATTACAGAATAATATATTTGTTTTCATCTCATGTATGCCACTTTACGTATCACATCTCTAGCTTGTATCATCGTGATGAAAACAGGTGCGACACTTTTATTACTGATCAATTTTTGTAGATACTGAATGACAATAGAGTAGACACTATATCAGCTGAGATGGCCTAATTAAATTGATCTGTTATCTAAAGTATGTACGCTTAAAAAATTTATAGTTTTAATATATTTTAAGCACATTGTTGAGATGGCACTATTGTCAAACATTACTGAGCACATTTTTTTATCAGTCAATATTTATCATATTTTATCGGCAAAAGAATTTCCATTATCACAGTTTGCAGACAATCTGTATTTACATTTCGTTATGAACATATCGATTAATATACTACTAATAAAAATATTTATTTTTTTTTTTATTTCCGTATATAGATTTTATCAGATTTTAAAATAAATAAATATTCGCGATGCAACAACAGAAACAACACAAGTCGAATAAAAAATAACGTATAAAATTTAAATATTAAAGATTTTAATCCAATTTTCTTTTTTTTCAATTATATATTCTTCTATTAGGTAGAAAACACGCTATCTGCGGATAAAAATTTTACAAACAACGATCATTGCTAAAGATTCGTTTAAAAGTAAAAAAAATCCATGTATCAGTTATAAATTTACCTGGAACTACGAAACGCTACCGCGAAGTTTAGCAAAGGCCAGACGATCGAGAATTCGTGCACGTAAAATATCGGAGATCTCGATCGGCGAACCTTTGATCATCCATACAGCAGATTACGCGGTCAGGGCACGGGGTCGTCGATCGCAAGTGAATCCTGAAACACTGATATTCACCAGCCATCCTGGACGAACGATCGATCGGCCCCCACTCTCTTCCGCTCAACGTCAGGATTCTCTGATAAAAAATGGTGAACTACTAGCATGACTGAAACTCTTCATCTCTCGTGAGACTTCCCATTGAAATTGGTACCGTGAGCGCGTGGAATTTTTAATAGGAAGTAATTAAAGTTTTTAATGTAGCGTAATTATTGAGATTATTATTTTGCGATGTTAATTTTTGAAATAATTTTTCCTTAATGCAATTAGACACACGCAAATATTCGTTCTAACACTGTTACATGTTGTATAAAAATTTACACGAAGTAGAGTCATCGATAAATTTAACATTAAAAGTCATTCAAGATTTAATTTATATATGATTCAACTTGATGTGCAACAAAATTGATAAAAAAATGCACTTTTTGATTGCAATTTCTGGTATGTAAGTAATGTAAAAATATTAGTCTCATCAATATCTAAATTAAACAGTAAGTTGTTTACGAACTAATTCGCGAGCGATAACTCATCAATCCGTATAGATATGCGACTTTTTTAATCGGATAGAGATTTCCGCGAAGAACAAAAATAATAATTTTGTCTGCTATATTATTGATTTATTTTTTATTCGATAAATGATAAGCCACAGAAAGTATAGAAATGCTAATATCATATCACTCTACAAATTATAATATTTTTTTCAACCGATTAAATCGTTTCGCACGAAAGATTCATCAGACGAGATTAAGAAATACGGGAAAACCCGACGGCTCACGTGTCAGTCAACGAGACAAAAGATGACAGTGCATTGATACTGTACGATGGCGAAACTAAAAAGACATTGTAATAATCTGTTACAGATTAGATCTATTCTAGATCAAATGTGCTAGTTAATTTCTTAGTTTAAATAGCACAAGTAGCACTCCAATTAGCAAATCATAAATAACTAAAAAAAATGTTCAATTACAAAAATTATAATGCAAGAATGGCTGAATATATAATTAACCTTTATTAAAATTTGAGTATTTCTCTCTAAAAAAAAAAATCAGTTAATAATGTCACACTTAATGAAGATAACTTTTAAACGAACGCTTTACGCAATCTCAGCATCGCAGTATCACGCGCTTATCAAAACGATTGATATGGTTGGTCATGCACTGCGTATCATTGACATCTCCAATACTTTGTAATTGATCTATCTAATCTAAGTTTAACAAGAAAAAAACTCATCAGTCATTGGACTACTTGTGCGGAAGCAGGTATATAAATTCGCGGTGTCGATTTCAATAACAGAAGAAGCGATGGCGTTGACAGCTTTGTATCTCTTCAGCCTTTTGGCGTTCTCGCAAGGTGAGTGATGAATAAATCTCTCGAATAAACCGACAACCACATATTTAATCGTTGATATTTATTTATTTAAATAAATGTAAATTAATATTACTTTTTGAAAAGTACATAAGATAAAAAATCACATTAATATGTTATATTTGTTTCTTATCTAAAGAAATGAATTTCATTTGCTTGCAAATTTCAATCTATAATTGCGAAAATAGATTCCATATCTACAAAAATGTTACAACCTTTTATCTTTATTTTACATTTAATAATAACAGTTTATTATTGCAGCGGGAGTTCTTCACCCGCAGTTCGATCCTAGAATTGTAGACGGAGAAGATGCTAGGCCAGGCGAAATTCCATATCAGGTATATATTGCCGAAAAATATGTGCATTATATAACTAAACAAATATATGCGCTATTATGCAAAATTATAGCTTACCGAAATCTTTTTCATCGCAACTAAACACAGATATTAAATTGCTCATTTTCACAGGTCTCTTTGCAAGACACTACTTCCTTCCACTTCTGTGGTGGCTCAGTCCTGAACGAAAACTATGTTATCACGGCAGCTCACTGTGTAGAAGGGTAATTTGATTATTTTATCATTTTCTTCAAATTATAAAAAATTTAATAAAGTCATGTGTTCGAATAGGTATTTAATTTAAAATTAAATATGTATGTTATAGCCGATCACCATCGGGCTTAAAAGTCATTGCTGGTAGCATCAATTTGAAGGATCCAAAAGTAACAAATCGAGTCACAAAAATTATTGTGCACGAGAAATATGATTCCTCCGATTCATGGATTAACGATATTGCTTTACTGAGGGTAAATAAAATTCAGCATAAATTTTATTTTTGGTCATTATTCGGCCTTTTGAACATCTCTAATCAAAAATAATATTTTACACACAAAAATTGCTTTTTAGGTGGAAAATGAATTCAAAAAGACTTCCACTCTTCAATTCGTTCCTTTACCACCAAGGGATTTTGTTGTCAACGCTAACGATGTAGCTACCGTATCAGGATGGGGCCGACTCTGGGTGAGTTTTCCAAATATATCATTTAATCTGCATATATAATTTTTATATATAAACCACGCGGAGCTTGCGATTATTTTGCATATATCATTTGTATAATCAAAATAAAGAAAGTTTAGTGTCATTTTTGCAGACAATAATTACAGATATTATTACGAAATTACAGCAAGGTGGACCAACTACTAACCAATTACAACGTGTCGACATCGTCATTGCTGATCAAAACTACTGCTCCAGTAAATACAGGGGGATGGGATACAATGTCTATGCTACGCAAGTTTGCGCATATGATCCGAGGACTGAGAAAGGATCCTGCCACGTAAGTTTAAAATTTTATTATGTCTATTCATTTATTTTAATAGCTTTATAATAATAATATATACACCACAAAATCTTCTAAGATACAATGTCATTGCATATATTTATGGCAATGTAATGAAGGAAAACGTAAAATAAAATGTGTAAAGCATTCGACTCAATATTAAATTTAAAACATTTTATAATTCTTCCAGGGTGACTCTGGTGGCCCATTGACTGTCAGAGGAAATCTCGTTGGTTTGGTATCCTGGGCAAATGGTTGTGCCAGTACTTCTTACCCCACTGTCTACACTCGTGTTCCTTCATACCTTGATTGGATTAGGGCTAACGCGGTCTAAACTCAACTTTACTCGCTTTTAGTTATGAATTGTATTCTGTTCCTTGATTTGTATTTTATGAAATGACTCGGAAAAAGAGGACTCTTCTCTATGTACAAGTAATAATGACGATGTGACATAAGGTTGCACATAGCAGGTATCCTCACGAAATTTATACATTTGTAAATCTGTACATTTTCAAAGCAATAAACTACATGATTCTAGCAAAGTATTATTAATAACTATAATCTATCTGAAAAAACTAAAATAAAGAATTGTCCTATAAGCTACATTTATTAGATGCGTATCGAGCTGAAACCAATTTCAATATAATACTATATTAAGTAATAAAAAAGATTAGATAGTCAAAGTTAATCTCAAAAATAATAAATGGAAATAATTGTTTTTTTCAATTTGTATTAACTTTTTTTGAAGGAAGCATGTATCGTATCTGATGATTTTGCTGTTTCCAACAGCTAAATTAAAAAATTTTTGTTAAAATATTTATAACTTGTGCAAACGGATATCGTGTTTAGATGTTATGTAATGTCCAGCGATATCTAACTTTTAATTGAATTTTTATCTTTGGAAAAAGAAGTTGCAGGAAATTAGATTCAAATCTGTCTGTATAGATATTAGTACACTAAGACAGTGTAACTTTTATTTAACATAAAATTTTATTTGATATTTCTTTGTATTTTTTACATATCGCAGAATGACGTAAAATAACTGATAAGTACGTCATTCACATTACACCGAACTATCTGAACTCATTTACTACTCCACCTTCGAACTTCTCAGCTGATAAAGTGCATGATAACTGTCAGCAACAGGAAGTTGGAAAAGAAACGAATAAATTTTATTTTTTATTATTTCTGAGACGGATCTCATATAAATTCGCAATGTCGAATGATATTAATAGTACGTTGAAAGATGGCATGGATCGTGCAACTCTTCAATCTTTTAGCGATTTACGGTTAGTTATGGTTCTCTGGAATAGATCGACAACTATATTTAATATATTTAATCATTTATAAGCGTTTATTTAATCCTCAAGATCTACATTTTTTGGTACATTTGGATTATCCACTTGAAACGAATTGATTATTAATATATCCGAAAGATAAATAAAATCTTTATCGAATTTTGAAGATATTTATAGACCCTCTGTCATCGCTTTTCAGCAAGCACAACATTGAAATGACTTAAAGTCGCTCACGATTTTATTAAAAATCAAATAGTTCAATTAAACATATACTAATGGAGCTATAAAGCCATAGAGCCGCAAAGCTCTATGGAGCATCGAAACTTCATGGAACCGCGGTGCTCCATGGCTCTATAGAATACCGTAGCTCCTCTATTGTGATTTTAATTTTCATGATTTTCAGATTGCAATATTTTTATTTTTTAAGGAATAATAGTAAATTTTTATTGCAGCTGGAAGCCATAAATTAGACCCTAGTCCTTATATAGTGAATGGAAGAGATGCTTTGCTAGGCGACATTCCATATCAGGTATATATTATTAAAATTATTGTATATTGTATTATTGTATAACTAAATAAATAAATGCGCTATTATTCAAAACAGCCGCGCATTATAGTTTATAGAGATATTTCTCATTGCAATTAAACGCACAGATATTAAATTGCTCATTTTCACAGGTCTCTCTACAAATTGATTCCCACCACTTCTGTGGTGGCGCAATCTTGAACGAAAAATATGTTATCACGGCAGCTCATTGCGTTGAAGAAAAAAAGTAATTAGATCATTTTGTCATTTTCTTCAAACTGTAAAAAGTAGACATTTAATTTGAAATTAAATATGTGTGTTATAGTCAATCATCGGGCATAAAAGTCATTGCGGGTAGCACCGATTTGAAAGATCCAAAAGTAACAAATCTAGTCGAAAAAGTTATTGTGCACGAGAGATTTAACCGCTTTCATACGGTTAATGATATTGCTTTACTGAAGGTAAACGATTCAGCAAAAATTTTATTTTTGGTATTGGTATCGGTCAGCCTCTTGAACATCTTATCTAATTAAAAATATTATTTTATACTCAAATAAAAATTGCTTTTTAGGTGGTAAATAAATTCAAAACGACTTCCACTCTTCAATTCGTTCCTTTACCACCAAGGGATTTTGTTGTCAAGGCTAACGATATAGCTACCGTATCAGGATGGGGTCGACTCTGGGTGAGTTTTCCAAATATATCATTTAATCTGCATATATAGTTTTTATACATAAACCACGCGAAGCTTGCGATTATTTTGCATATATCATTTGTATGATCAAAATAAAGAAAGTTTAGTGTTATTTTTGAAGACAATAATTACAAATATTATTACGAAATTATAGCAAGGTGGACCAGCTACTAACCAATTACAACGTGTCGACATCGTCATTACTGATCAAATCTACTGCTCATATAAGTATATGATGATAGGATACAATATCAGTACTACACAAATTTGCGCATATGATTGGACAACTGAGAAAGGAGTCTGCCAGGTAAGTTTCTCTTAAAATTTTATTATGTCCATTCATCTATTTTAATAGCATCATAATAATATATACACTACAATATCCTTTAAAATACAATGTCATTGCAGATTTTTGTGACAATGAAGGAAACGTAAAATAAAATCTGTAAAGCATTGGACTCAATTTACTAAATTTGAAACATTTCATAATTCTTCTAGGGTGACTCTGGTGGCCCATTGACTGTCGGAGGAAATCTCGTTGGTTTGGTATCCTGGGGAATCGGTTGTGCCAGTACTTCTTTCCCTACTGTCTTTACTCGTGTTTCTTCATATCTTGATTGGATTAAAACTAACGCGGTCTAAGCTCAACTTTACTTGCTTTTAATTATGATTTGTATTCTGTTCTTTGATTTGTTTTACGATTTGAAAAAAGTTTTTCGACCCTTCTCTACGTATGCAAGTAATAACGATGTGACATAGAGGTACCCATATAAAATTTATACATTTGTATATCTGTATTTTCGAAACAATAAATAATACATAGACATAGCTATTAATAAATATAATGCATCTAAAAAACCCGAAATGTGAAGAATTGTCGTATAAACGATATTTATTATATGCAAACCGAGCCCAAAACAATTTCTCAATATGGTACTATCGAGTAATAAAAAAGATTAGATAGTCCAAGTTTATTTCAAAAATAATAAAATATTTTTTTTTTAAATTTGTATTAACTTTCCAAATGGTATTAACCTTTTTTTTTGAAGGATGCATATACCGTATTTGGCGATTTTGCTGCTTTTGACAGCTAAATTTTTTAAATTTTTATTCGGTAAAATATTTATAACTTGTGCTAATGGTTGTCATGTCTAGATATTATGTAATGTCCGGTGATATCAAACTTTTAATTGAACTTTTATCTTTGGAAAAAGAAGTTGCAGGAAATTAGATTCAAACTGTCTGTATAGATATTAGTACACTAAGACAGTGTAACTTTTATTCAATATAAAATTTTAATTGATATTTCTTTGGATTTTTTCCGCACAGAATTCTAATAACAGCAAATAACTGGTGAGTACGTCATTCACACTGTACCGAACTATCTGAACTGATTTACTACTTCACCTTCGAACTTCTCAGCTGATAAAGTGCATGACGACTGTCACCAACAGGAAGTTGGAACAGGAACAAAAAAATTTTATTTTTTATTATTTCTGAGACGGATCTCGTATAAATTTGCAATATCAACATGATATTAATAGTACATTGAAAAATGGCATGGATTATGCAACTCTTCAAATTTTTAACGATCTTCGATAAGTTATGATTTTCTTGAGTAGTTCAACAACTACATATATATATATTTAATCATTTATAAGCATTTATTTAATCCTCTAGATCTACATTTTTTGACACATTCGAATCGTCTATCTAAAAACGAATTGACTATTAATATATCCTAAAGATAAATAAAATCTTTATCGAATTTTGAAGACATTTACAGATCCTCTGTCATCGCTTTACCTCTCCAGTAAGTACAACATTAAAAAGACTTAAAGTCGCTCACGATTTTATCAGAAACCAAATAGTTCAATTAAACATATACTAATAGAGCCACGGGATTGCGAAACTCCATGGCTCCTCTATTATGATTTTAATTTTCACGAATATTGCAATTTTTTTATTTTACATGTAATAATAATAAATTTTCATTGCATTTGGAGGCCTTAAATTAGGACTTTAGTCCTAAAATAGTAAAAGGACTAGGGAAGGAGGAAAGGAGGAAAGGACTGAAGAAGGAGCCTGTCATGTAAGTTTCTTTTAAAATTTCATTATGTCCATTCATCTATTTTAAGCAACTAATCAATTTTACTTATTTCTAATTATAGATTGCACTCTGTTCTTTGCTTTGCATAATTTTCTAACAATTTTTTTCGTAAAATCAAGATATTTTTAACGCAATAATTATTTGCTCTATACAAACAAAAATCACTAATATAACTCACCTAAAACTACCGCAATATAAAATTATTTACAACAAATGTCGTTATATTATATATATATTTTATATTATGTTATATATTATTTACCGCGAATCGAGTATGATTGGATAGTACGCACAGAGTAGAAAATTGAATCGAACTCTGTTCTGCCGCGAAATCAATACATACTGACCGCGCTCTGATGCTCATATGTTGCTCTCATTTCCGGTGACATTTGACAAAGCAATAGCGATCAATGAAGACATTTTAATCATAATTGACAATCACGATTATAATAATGTTAAAAAGAAGCCTAATACCTGAATTTTATTCGAATCTTTTCTAGCTAATCCATCCATTAATTCCCACCATCCATATTTAATGATCAATAACTGCATCCAATTTAAAATTGTAACTATATTGTGTTGTATTATAATTAAATTTAGAATCACTACATAGAAGTTACTCCTGATTCGCAATTTATGGATGTAGCTTGAACATACAGCAAACACCGATATCGAAAAATGGTTGTGTAGTTTTAACTCTAAAACGGATGCAAATTTTCTTTACAACCTCGCGCGATTTTACGATTCCAGCATAACATGGGGAATAATTAATGTCAGCTGCTCGAGAAACTACATGTAGACACATATGCCTTCGGGATTTACGGATAAAAAAAAAGCAATCGGAAGGGAAAGAAAAACTATCCGTAAGCTACGACGCCAAGAGGAAACGATATAAAAATATAGAGGGAACTTATTAAGCTTTCTTTCAAGAATAACTAATAGTAAACGTTAGAAACTTCCCGAATAAGAGCAAGACGAACTGCAACTGCGACGAGAAGCGGCTGCTTCTCGACGACAAGGAAGCGCGAGCGCGGATCGTTCATACTATTCCGCCGCCCGTATTTACATTGCTAATGAAATTTCATTTCTGCTTTCGTCGTTCTTCCAAGAAGCGCGTGATAGGTCCCTACGTCGCTCTCTGACGTTTTGTTTCACTCCCTTCTCTTCAACGATTCACTCGGAGCGTAAAAGGAGGTAGTTGCTCATTTCCGAGCGGAAGGCGCCGTCATTACTAACTATATACACTTCTTTCGCAGAAACTTTTCTCGCATTAACTTATCTAACACTTTCGAAAACCCAAAGAGAGTTACTTTTCCGCCTTTTATGTATAAAAACTTCATTACGATTTTTACGAGTAAAATTGTCGTAGCGAAATTTTCGCTGTATAAACAGATCGTTACTTTCTGCCCCAGTTACGTAACAGATTTTAGAAGCCTCACCGCGTCACGTTTAAATATTTCCGAATAACTTTATGCCTCCACAGACGCGTGCGAAATATGGTGCATTTACTTCCAGTCGGTCGAAATAATACCTAAGATATGTAATATCTACGTGCGCAACAAGATGACTATGCACGCTTGCCAGCTGAATCATCCGAGTAGACACATAAACTTGTCTAGTTTGTAGAGCTTATAAACTCGCTAGTTTTAGAGGGTTAATTTCCAGAGTATTACAGCATTATGAAGTAGGAGTAGCCGCAAATACGAAAGCATTATTCTCTCTCACAATCGCGCGCAAAACAGTAGTTACAGTCATGTCAGAAGCAATCGTGCGTTGTGCAGCGCATAACTTCGGTTGATATATTTAATAATTGATATACCCATTTATATAAATTAAGCATTGTATTTTACAGGCACGGGGGGGGGGGCAAGCAAAAACATGCGAAAACTGAAAATTTACTGCCACAAATCATACAAAAGAACGCGTGACGGATCGCCGTTAATTAAATCTAAAGGATTTATTACTGATGGAATAAATCAAACTTCCAAACAATTTTTGCGTTACAAAGATATTTTATGTAACGTGACATTGTCGCGTAATCATTATTTTAGTTAAATCAATTATTAAATCTATACTGTATAAATGCCAATTTCAGAATAGAGAGAGAACCCTTTCAAAAAATGTCGCGACTGAAAGTCTCAGCGAAGCCACCGAAAAGCCTCAACCAGACGCAGCCCTTCTCTTCGCGATCAATTCGTCGCGCGACTTCCTCCTCTTCTTCTATCTTTTCTCTTTCTCTCTTGTTACTCGTCTCACGATCTTCCTTTTATTTCTTCTTTTAAACCCGCGACCTTGAGGTCGTTGGAATAAGTTGAGAGCTGCCGTCGCGACAACCCAATTTTACTGGGATTTTATTGGAATAACTATTACGAAATCGTAGATGTTTTATCTCGCGAATTTAATGCTTTCTTTGCAATAACAGAAAATAAAATTCTATAAAAAAAATTTAGATTTGTTGAAAACTTGTTAAAAATTAAAATCTGCTGAAAATTCTATTTATCTGTGAATAGAATTCACAATTGTCAATTTGTGAATATTAATCGAGCATAGTCAGCTTTTCGGAAAACTTGGAATATTAATTATCTTGTTAAATTTCTCCTTGCCAGCTGTCTCATATGCACTTCGCCGCATACCCCATTAACTATTAAAGCGTAATTTTCCCGGTAACATTTCCATAAAGCTTCTCATTCATTTTGTGGAATGATTATGTGTTATATGAAACACCAACCAAAATATATTGCACGACGATCGTTAGATCCTACAGTAAATATCAGATATACTTTCGGCATATACGCATAGCTGTTGCACTTAGCGATCCTTGTTCCAAGATGCAATAAATATTGAAAGTTATTCTCCGCTAAGAACAGTTTGCGCGTATACCAGATTAATTTATGAAATGTGCTTGCGATGCATTTATAAGAATTTAATCGATCGAAATAAAATCAATACAGAAAAATAAGACATTTGCAATTAAATATGAATTATTTGATATTTTATTTGATCTAAAATAAATAGAGGAATAAATTTATAGAATAATAATATTATAATATTTATAAAATATTATAAAATATTATTATAAAATATTATAAAATATTATTCATAGACAGTTCATTAGAAAAGTATAAAATTATAAGTAAAAAACTCGCTGATGTCTGATCAAAATCAACTTTTACTACTTTTATGTCACTGAAGATGCTTGCGAAAGATTTTAATTTTAACTAATGACTTCTAAGCGTGATAAAATGATAAGAAAAATGTAATTACGCATAATATCTCCGTATGCCTCATATCTTCGCATTAATCTTTAGCTGACGGCTTTGCGATTAGCTATGTTGAATTGAAAAGCAACCTGATCTAGAGATAGCTCTATTGCGGAGACACAAAATCTCATATTTCCAGCTTATGATCGAAGTACGCGGGCTTACGCGAACTCAGAACCGTAAATTGTAGACTCGAAACTTGCATTAGTGCACTTCCTACCTTCCGAAAATATTGCAGGAAATCGTGATATAGTAGACATTTAATTCACCCGCTTCGGATGCAGCGGGTAACTCGAGTATCTATATAATAGTAACATAAAATATCCTTATATTCGCGACACGATGTAAGAAAGAGGCATTACAAATTCTGAATATCCTTGTGCTAACTCTTCAATTTCATCGCTCCAACGAAATTTCATTGGGATTCCGCTCGGCGAAATCCATTGAGGAAGTCTCTCGTTCTACAAAAACGAATACCAGAAAAGTGCCACGCTCGTATTTACGATTACGAGCCGTAACTCGGCGTCTTCGCGATTTAAATATTCCTTTCAGGAACGTGTTTCTGAGAGTATCTCGTCCAATATGGAATAGCACGTGCAGCGCATTGGCGATTAAAGGCGAGCTTTGGCACGAAGCCAGTGAAATCTTTCTGCTCCTTTGTATCAAGGATATAGAATCTTAATGTGTCATTGGTGCCAACGCCGTAAAAGGCTTCGGCAAATTTCATTCAAAGGAATTGCAGTTGTTGCATCGATCGAATACAAGTATCACAATGAACAATACTTAAATAATAATAATCACTTCTAAATCCGCGCAGATCATAAATATGATCAATATCGCCGATATCATTTTTTTTTTACTATTACGATAGACATGAAAGAGAGTCTCGCAAAATATAATTTTTATTCCACACAATCTCTGATATCATCAAACTTTGAAGGACTCACCTGCACACGAAGTGAAGTATAGCACTTCGCCTCGGTTCTCTAGAGGCTGTTGGACTTTGAAACGCTATTGCAGGATATACACACGAAAAAGTTGAACGAAAGTTATGATGTTCACATGAGTCAATGTATAAATTTTTACTTTCTTCTGTGTGTTACAGTAATGCTAATTGTGAGCGGATAAAAAATTTTCATAACGTTTCGCAATACAGTGCTATAATTAGCTATCTTCTAAGAATATCTTCTACTATTTTTTGCACGAGTCGTATTTTAGAAAATATTTTAACGCCGCATGCGCATTTATACTTTTCAGAAGCCTAAACTTTTAGATTGGAGTAAAAATGTATTTATTTTCAGAGTAAATACATTTATTTGCTTTCAGAGTAAATAAATTTTCACTCCAATAAATGAAATATACTGCTTATATTTTTCCATCGATTTTCTCTCTATTTGATTTCTCTCGTTCATCAGCTGTACAAATTTCATGTAGAAAAACAACACATCGGTAGTATCGTGGTCCCAATCACCTCACGGCATATTCAACGTAATTCATAATTTATTCCGAAGCCATTTCCATTATCTCGCATTATTTCCTATTATCTCGTACCATCTCGCACTCAATCAGGAGCGGCGAAATAACTTGATTAAAGATATTCCCGCGGCGATACACGGTCGCAATTACCGAAGCGGAGTGTCAAAGCGGGGACTCACTCACCTGTTTGCGGAGCGGTGTGACACATTCGTCCTTGGTACGCTCGAAGCGCTCAAACTTGAAGCTGTTGCTGCGGTAGAGCTCGTTGTCGCTCTGTTGCCTCCTGCAGAGCCGTCGCGTGAGCGCGCGCGGTCTGCAGGGCGCACATTCGGTGGCGAGCTCCCAGTGCAAATGCAGCATCGCGAGCTCGGCGGTGCAACGTGCCATCGCGCAGCCGGCGCGTCTCACACGGCACTTGACCCGCTTGATGCGGCCCTCAGGCTGCGGCTTGTGGCCGCACGGCTGCGTGCCGCTGCAGCTGCAGTCGTTGCATGTGCGGCGCGTACGGCGCGTTCTGACCGTATGCGAACACGGCTTCGCCTCCTCGCCACACTCGCACTCGCACGGCGCCTCGCCGCCGCCTGTGTGGGCGCAGTTTAATCTCTCGTCGGCGCACTCGCACGGCTGCTGCTGCGACTGTTGCAGCTGCAACTGCGTGGAGGACACAGGGGGAGGAGGATTGCGCGGCCGCTCGGCGACGGGTACCGCCGCCGCAGGTTGTATGCCGGCAGGAACGATCCGTACACTCGCATCTGCAATTAAGAACGCGCAAAAAGAAGCAAACTCGGGAGGCAAATGCTGTCAAGATTGCTGAATGCCAGTGGAAATAAAAAGATTTTAGCTTCCTTGAAATTAAAAACGACTCTCTGAAACCGAAGGGTGATCTTTTTTAATTATTAAAATTTACACGAGGTGTAAATGTATGCTTTCGAAATGTCGTATTGATTTTTCGAGATTTAAGTAACATACGTGAGCAATTATGTAAACGTCTAGATATTATTGGAAAATGTCGATTTTCACATAACACTCGCGATATATTTCGCCCGAGGTATCTGACAGTCGTAAGTCAAACCGAGAGAGCCTCTATCGACTATTGGAAACTTCATTTACCGTATTATCGCACAATAATATCAAAGAACAGAAACGACTGCAAGAAGGAAGCGTGGAACAAAGAATCAGGTCAGCCCGAACGCGAGAACTACGCGAGATTCGCAAGCGATTATATCGCAATTGAATTTAACAGCACGTAAATAATTGCATCGAACTATTAATTTCATTCAAATAATTTAGTAATTTTTCATCTCAGTGACGCTGTATTTTAATTTTTCTCGAATTTATCACGCGTTCTGTATCTTTTTATTAATGCTGGAGCTTTTTCAACATATATATGTGTGCGATGCAAATATTTTTTTTCTATATATTTAATTGCATTGCTGTTTCCAAATAAATATCTACAGATTGCATCCAGTCAACTACATATAACTGGAGATATCAAATATGTGCTATCGACCAAATTTACTTATATACAAATCTTTTATAATTATAGGAACTCAAATGTGTTGAAAGATAAAGTATGTTTAATCACATTTGTTTCGTAATTTGCTAATTAACCTACGAATGAATCATGCTCGCGGGAGCTAGAAATTAAAAAAAGAGATACTCCACATTCGCCCTAAACACGTGGTACCTCATAAATCAATATCTCCGCAAAGATAAAAGACCGTGTAAATTAGCATTCTTCAGACCGACTAAAATTCACCTTGTTATAGCGACATGAAAACGCTTTTAGACGTCACATTCCAGATTTTGCCATCGCGAAAGTTCGCCCGTGTTAATCTAGACAAGGTAATCGCCTCGTTTACCCAACGAACGAGCGGTTGCATCGCTCTCTTGTTACAGCAAGGGTTGGCAGGTCCGGTGAGTTAATTACGTGAACTATTCGCATTCACCTAAAACCTGCTGACGATCGGCGCAAGTGCCAACGGCACGTTGGCTCCTGACCTCCACCATGCCTTCCACCCCTTTCGCCGTGATCTTTCAAAGCGCAGTCGAGCTTTATACAATCGACCGTCAACTGTCAGCCTCAAACGACAATACCTAAACGGTCGTAAAGAGAGAGAGAGAGAGATCACCGATCGATAAAATGTTCGCGAATTAAAAGTCAACCGGATACTCGGACGAAGCTGCAGTGAATCTGGAGCACGACTGTACGGCAGCGTGTCCGAATGGATGTAACTGTTGCTTGTTACCTCCACTTCTATCGATCGAACGAAAACCGAAATGCTGGAGGAAATTACAGCGGCGGTCTTGCGACAAAACCTATCCTCTCACCGTCCCGTGCTGCGACGATTATGCACACAGCAGCAACAGTTTTTATCTTAACGACCTTACAAAGAAGGTCATTGGTCAACAAGTGCTATCGACCGAAGGATGCTACCGTATCGCGTCACCTGTCGATGCGCTATCTATGCATCTACAGATAAGATAGGATAATAGTCTCACCGACCTACCCCAATCTACTACCCCAGCAACAACACGACCAGCTGCTTTCGCGCAAGCGACGCGCCGCCGCCGGAATAGGTCGGGCGTGATATCAAATGCCGTGGCCGTTTATTTACCTTCTGATCCTCCGCGCGGTCGATCCTCGCTGTGCGTGCGGACAAGGTTGCGCGTCCGGCGGGCAGTCGCAGCTGACGGTGATCGCGGCGGCGGCGGCGGCGGCCGTCGGTCGCGTACGACGTACCCTGATGAGCACCGGATGCACCGGGCACGGTTGCACCTGGCAACCGCATACGATTGTTTGGGGCCCGCCGCCGCCGCGGGGCTTCCGACCGCCGCCGCGCTTCGCGCGTTGGTCCACGTGCAACTGGCACGGCTGCACGGGGCAGCCGCAACGGGCCGCGGCGGCACCGCGACGACCGGCACCTTGTACGCGTCTCCACACCCGCTCCATTCAACGACCGGCGTGCAACTGACAATCGGCTGCCCCACACCACCGCGTCGATCCGCGTGCGCGCCCGCGCGGTCGCTTCGATCCTCGCCGCGCGCGTCCTCCGCCGTGCTCGGCTTTGCGGGGGGATGAAATCACCCCGAGATGCGCGCTGGTCCACGCTGCCTCCCTCGCGCCGTGCCACGGCTGAAGTTATCCCCCTGTGAACGCGCGCGGACCGAATCCGGGCGTTTACCCCGGAGTGGAAGGAAGGTTGACTTCGTCGCGAGACCTCGCGCGATAACGCGCTGCTGCGATATGCCTGGTGGATTGAGATTATCTTAATTAACGTTCGCCTCTGAACTTGAAGGATTGCAGGGATCCTGGCATTGTAACAGCATTGACGATTATCGGACGTATCCGAGTTGATTGTATGAAATCTATACATTGAAAGATTTTTAAAAATTGGAAACAATTTTTATTTATAAAAATTTACAATAATTATATAAATGTAATTGTATTCCATATACAAGCATGAGCTCCTAGAAAAATATTAAATCCTTTCATGATTACAAAACAGGCACCATTTATCTAATCTTTTTATGTAAAATATTTTGTCTAATTATAATAATTAATTATTTTGTCTAATCGTAATTTTCATTACGATGATCGCGTCGTGCTCAAAACCGAAGCGGCGAATATTTGTTGCAGAATTCGTGGTATATTCTTAAGGTCCATGCACACAAACGCGCGACCGGAGGGCATCTTTTTCATTAATCTAAAAATAACACAAACATATCGATTAAAGTATCAGTAGAAAATATGAAAAAGAATAAAACGGAACGGTGAATTTTGCTTATCGTGAAATCACCTGGTGGCTTGATCCCCCAACGATCCAATAAAAATAGCGTAGGAATTCACGTCCGCGTTCGACGTCAATACTCTCGCGAATCGCTCAGGGGGAATTCCGTAACGTTCTAGATTCGCGTCCGAGAGCACAACAACGATAGACTCGTCGGAATCCTCTTTCGCCAGACTCGCAATTGCGTGCTGCGTCGCTTCCAACGTATTGTCGCCAGACATGCAAAATTGCGAGTGAGCGTGCATCGTCTGCGAAAATTAATATGCTCGCAATTAAACCGTATAATTCGTTCTTTCGTGAAAAAAAAGAAAAACATCTACTTACCTTAATTACTTCCAGTCTTCGCTTATTGTCCGTAGGCGGTTGCGTGTGATCAACAAACGCGATACGATAATCGTCGCCGGAATGGCCGACAATGTCATATTGAAACTTTCCCTCGTAACCGCTGAAAGCCTCCATTACCATAACGCAAGCCTCCAGCTCGCGGTCCAGCCGGCCGTCGTAACCATTGAATCTGTACATGCTACCGGACACATCCGCGACAAGTTTCAATCGCTTCGGCTTCAATTGCGGGGCGCCAATCTCCGGCTCTTTCTCCGCGCGACGCCGGTAAATCGTTTTCTCGCCCGTTAATCCCTCGATTAATTTCGTATCGTCCAGCTCGCCGGACGTCTGATGCCGGCACCATTGTCGCTCGTTGCTTTTAGCCTGCAGCGTGCCTGCAAGCGGCGCGAGACGGCGCGTCAAAAGTACGCGATAAAAGAGACTTCATTAGCCCCATTAAAAGGCGGATTCGGGCTTAAAAACGCTCACCTAATACGACCCTCAAGGCTTGCACCTGATTGTGAACCGCGTCGCTGAACTGGCTGTACAGCTTGTGGTCGTATTCGCTCATTTTTATGTCCTTGAGCCGCTGCTTGAACGCGCGCAGGCCCATCTCGCGAGCGGCCTTCTTTATATGTTCCGGTACCGCATTCTTCTCTTCGTCGCTCAGCTGGTGCACCGTGTGCCCGGCGTCCAGCCGATACGGTCCCCCCTTCCCGCCCAAGCCCGCCGTGTCTCTACCTGAAATATAATTCAACGCACGTACCTTATATATACTCTATCGCGACAATAGATTGCTAAACGTACGTTGAAAAAATATGAAAAAAACATAACGCGCTCCGTATTTCTCCTGGAAATTTATTTTATTCATTATCCTGTTTGGACGTACCTCCGGTTCCCCCGGCCCAAGTATTGCCGCCCACGTGCGGCTCGTTATTTTTATCGATCTTCCCGTGCTTCGGCCCGCTGACATCCTGCCCCGAATACCTCTCTTTGGTGATCTGCAATTTTTCCTCGCCGGCGCCTATCATTTTGCGCCACGCGCCTAATGACTTTTCTATATTCGCGATTGATGTCTCCCATAGACGGACACAGCCGCCGGCGTCTATTGTGACGAGGCCTTCGTTCGACGTAAGTGACGCATAAAGCGGAAAGTCTTTCGCGTACAACCATTGCGTCAATGGCGAGACATTAACCGGTCTGTGTGAGAAAAATTGCAACAGATTTCTCGAGTGACAGAAAATGAAAAAAAAAATACGAACGACAATAACAAAGACATATTGTGTCCTATTGTCTCGATATTGTTTTTTTCAAACATAAAAAAAATATGAAAATGTATAAAAATTGCATGTTTTTTTTTTACGGCACAGTTATTATAGTTCTCGCAAATTTACTTACTCCGGAATGGGAATATATCGCAGCTTGTGGTTCACCGTGTCGACTATTTCCAAGTAACCGGAAATCCCCGCGCGTTTCGTGTCTCTCGGATAAACCTCTTCGGGTACTTGATTGGGCGAAATCGTTCTAATCACTTGTCCATTTTGAGTGACAATAGGCGTCATAAAGCTGCGCGTTCTCTCCTTCCTCGGCCAAAAATGAAGTTCGCTAGAGCTGTCTAAATCGGGAAATCCGGTCGCAATTCCGGCGTATGTGTTATCGGTGACCAGAAGTCTGTTCGGGCAGTCGATTTTCTGCCGGAGAGCTTTGCTCAACTCCACATTGTGCAGGCTGTCTCGGCCGCAATTCAGTACCCGGCCGGTTTTCAGATCGGTGCTGTTAGATTCATCCAGCTCGCGCAAGACGTTGGGGCACGGATCCGAGTCTGTAAATTTCGCGAGAACGTACTTATTCTTCGACGTGTCCTGAATTAACCATTTCCTCTCGGAGGCGAGCAGAACCGACTCGACGTTACAAGGCAAATTCATCGAGTAAGCGCACATGTTCTGCAAATTGATAACCTCGAGCTTGTCCTGATCCTGCGTATATAAGACAATCAGATCATGGGACGATAATAACTCCGTTTTCATCTTCCACAGACTCCTGCCTCTGCTAAAGACGTTCGATATTCTGTCGCCGGCGGCATCCAAAAACGACGAGATTTGCAATTCTCGCACGGACCCCTCGTTTACGTTCACCACGAGTATGGAATTGCTCTAAAAATGATGGAAGAAAATTCGATGAGCGCTAACGGCGAGCGATGAATAGCCGCTTTACTTACAGTTTCCTCGTGAACCAAAACATTTCCGAGATTATCTACCGCGACGTTATAGAACGGCGTGCTGCCCCTGACGGGGCTTATCAAGCCCTGCAACGGCGTTTCGCGAACTCGCTCGGATTCCGGCGTCATGCTAAATACGCTCAGAGGATTCGCCGTGAGAACGTGTATTCTGTCGTCCGCGCCGTCCCCTTTACTTCCATTCGCGACCGCCAAAGCGGTCACCGTGCTATTCTCGCTAATAGGTATTGTCCAGTAACTCTGCAGCTCCGTGAACCAGGCTGATCTAGCCTCAACTCGATCTAGAGTTCGGTCGTTTTGCGCCGGAAACGTCGGTGGCTTTAGCTTAACGTATCTTTCCTGAACCGGTATATTGTGAAACGCGCTCAGAACGTTCCAACTACCGCAGATCTTCATCTCGGGCAAAGGTATTCTGCAATGGAAAAGGAGGAAGAACGCTGTGAAAGCTGATATCTTTATTCTTCTTTTCGCTTTCTCATTTATTAAGTACAAATATGTACAACAACTTTCTCGTCGTGTTGTAAAATTTATCAAATAAATTACAAAACCGTGTTCGAATCGACGAAATTTAATTTTCTTTAAAAGCTTAAAGCTACGAGATTATCTTACTCTTTAGCTAAAGCGATATTCGTTGGACTCGTTCCAACGGGAATTCCATGCTTATGAAGCACGGTCACCAGAGTGTCGAATATTTCCTGACTGTATCGATCGAAGTCGAAAACGTTGCGCACCACTGTGGCTAACGGCTCGCTCGGGAATTTCTACAACATTATTAGAAAAAAACCGAGTGTAAAAAAATCATCGAAATAAATCGCCCTGAAATTCTTCCGTCGACTCACCTCCAGGTGTTTCACTATGTTAACGACTTCCCGTGTCGAGTAAGGATACGAGACCAGCCCTTGATCGGCCATACTTCTCAGCTCGCCGAAAGCTTTCACCAGCTTGTGTATCGTCCGCTCGTCTATGTGCGGACCGTACTGCTTCAGGAGCTGGATCTCGCTCCGCACGCTCGGATTGTCGACGGAATGCGTGCTGAAGAGATCGCCCAGCGCGCCGAAGAAGTCGTTGCCCAGAAACGGGAAGCCCGGTCTGTTCGCCAGGACTATCATCTTGAAGTCCGGATGCATCGCTATGCTGTTCGCGCCGCGCGCGTCGCCGCCGGCGCGAGGAACGATCCGCCTGCCGTCCGACAGAATCATCTCGCCCGACTCCACCAGGGTCTGAAAAATGACGGGACTCGTCTCGCGAATCACGGCGCGACAGAGGAGCGCGTAGTTCGAGTACGTACTTTGAGTATGCACGTCACGTGCGTGGGCGCCTTGTCCGCCTCGTCGACGACGAGCACGTGGCCCAGTTTCACGGCCCGCACGAGCGGCGAGTCCTCGTAAACGACTTTGCCGTCTTTCACCATCGGCTGCAGGGTGAGCGTCTGCACAGTCGTATCGCGATGCAGCTGGATGTACTCGCGCGGCCGATTGAGCAACTGCAGCAGCCTGTCGGCGATCTTGTTCTTACCGACGCCCTGATTGCCGACCAGCAGTAGATTCTGCCCGAGACTGAAGTCCTGCAGCAAGCGCTCGAGGAGCGCGACGTGCTCCGGCACGTCGTAGAACAGAATGTCGGGCACTTTGCTATGCGCCGCGGTGCGATGCCGATCCACGACGGTGTCGCCGATCCTCACGATGTCCTCCGTGACGGTGCACTCGATTTTCGCGTCCACCGCGGACTCCGGTGGAACGATGTCGAGTCGGCGGCAGCAGTCGTCGAGCGCCTGCTTCGCGATCGCCGGCAAGAAGCGCGCTAGGCACGCGCGCTGCACCGCGCCGTAAGCGTCGTCGCCCTTAAATCTGTGCATTCGCTCGGCTATTCGTAAAAGTTGCCGGGTGCTGAGCGATCCCGCGAGCGATTGCAACGTCGGATCGCTGGACGAGCGCAGCACGTGCGCCAGTTCTACGATATTCAACAACGCCTGGCTGGGTTCGCCGAACTGCAACAAAGTACGCGATGAGCGATCCTAGCCGAAGCGACGATTCACGCATACGAACATTGCGCGATCACCTTCGACCGGACGATATGAATCTCCTCGTGCTTATCGAGCGGTCTCATCTCGTGAAAGAGGAACAAGCTGAGCAGCTCGGAGTTCAACCATTGCCCGGTCGAGCTGTTGACGATCGGCGGCTCGGCCAGAGCCACCAGCCTGAAAGCGGGATCGATTCGCAAGACACCGCGATCGCGCATCTCCCCGTCGGATTTGCTACGCTCCCTTTTGATCTCGTCGTAACGATCGGCGCGCACGAGCCGCTTACCGTCGTGCAACTGCAACTCCCGATCGTGGACTAATCTACGGATAAACGGTTCGCGTTACGCTCTCGGGACGGAGGACGTCGAGGATGCGCGATTTTACCTGTGCAGCGTAGCCAAGGTGCTGGAGTGAATTCTATTAACGCCGTCGAGCACGGCTAGCTTGCCGTGGAGCGCCGCGTCCACCAGCGGCGAGTTTCTCCAGACCGTGTCACCGTTGTGCGACGTGGTCCGTTGCTGTATCAAATCCCTGGAAGTCATATCCTGAGAAAAAACATTTCCATCGTTTTATTCCGAGCCGTCGCGGTCACGCAAGCGAGAGAAATCGACAAAACCTAATGCTGACGTCATCCTCGTGAAGGATGCGAACTTGCCTGATAAAGTACTATCGGCTCCACTTGATACCCTAATAAATCAGCGAGCCGACGGACAGTGGTGGATTTGCCGCAGCCTTTCGGCCCGATCAAGCAGAAATCGGATGCCAAGTGAGATTCCAGCATGCTCGCCAGCAAATTATTTTGATAATTAGTCTCTATGTAATGATCATTATTCACGCTACTCGATAATGGACCCGTGCCGCGGGGAACCTGTTTATCCGCAAAATAGATTCAGATATTTAGAAATTAATTAATACGCGCGGATAATACAAATATTTAGAGCTTACGTGAAAGCTTGCTTCCGCACCGCCGCGCTTCACGTTGACCTCTAAGAGATCATCCGCTTTCTCGCTGGCGCTTATTTTGCTATTGACAGTGCGCTCCTTTTTGGAACCGTTCAAGACGCTAAATGTCACAAGGATATCCTCCACGGCACTCTGGCCCTCCTTGCCCAAGAATAGTTTGTACGGATAGAATCTATAGAAGACATTGTGCACCGACAAGTCGGGGCTTTTGTCCTACACAAACATGCGAAATTAACGTCAAAGAGCTGACAAAACTACCCCGCTATATCGATCCGAGAGCTGGGAATTTACCAGAATTAAGGCAGCCGACGGTAAACTGTCCAGAGGAAAATCTGGCAGGCCCACGCTGACAGCTTCTTGAGTGACTAGTGCATGAGCGCACGACAACAACTGCGAAAGTTTCGCAACGTCGACGTTGGGCGCTAGCTTTCTCAAGACGTCTAATTGTTCCTTAAACATTAAATCTTAAACATTAAATCTGATGCATTATATAGAATATCCGCGATTAAATAATGATAAAACATGAATAAATTGTCCGCTTCGAGCATGTTGCAGACTGTTATCTTTTGTAGGACGTGGAAATTAATATTTTACAGTGCGCGCAACTTTATAATGATCCTGCGTTTAACGATGCCGGGAGGAGCGATTGGATTTCCGAATTAAAGTCATTAAATAAGCATCCAAGTTACACTTGATAATATTAGCCCCGGGGAACTAGTGCTTAATAACATTCCGCCAGTCGGAGCGTTGCGGCAGTCATTCGACCGAGCGAAAGTTTCGAACTCGCGCGCGGAAGTTTACGGCCGTTGCGGCGGCGTAATATATTTAACGTTACTTAACGGTCTATCTGGAGCGCGTTGAACCACTCGGATTCGGACGGGGTCGGAGGGGAGGGGGGGGAGAGAGGGTTATCTTCCCATTACTTCCGCCTTCTCCGGAGAGCCGGCACATAGCCGGCATAGCCGGCGCGCGGAAGCGCGCGGCGGAATCGCACGCGTATGGAATGCCACATCGCGATTCGGCGCGGTACGAGAGACGCGGTCCTCCTTCCGAGAGTGATTAACACCGAGTGCTTTCCAACATTGCGCGCACGGAGCACTGGAGTGAATAACTACCACTCGGCACGGAAGCCACGCGAGCGATATACCGCCCGCTCTCTCTCTCTCTCTCTCTCTTTCGGCATTTCCATCGAAAACTTTCAATCGGCCCTGGGATTATAATCTCGAGCCCTCGATCGCCCGTAATTACGGCGTCGACGGAAATGCGGTATTCGTGACCGTTCC